GCCTCGACTGTGCAACGACGCCTTGGTTGACGACTCCATCTTGACTAAAAAACACGCACACACGCCCGCTAATGAACACCCCCAGACGATTCTACTCGAAACGCCTGGGGGCTCGGGAGCTACACCCGCGGATGCGCTCGCGCGCACCCGCTGACAAAAACAAAAACCTCCCCCGCTGGCAACCCAAAAAAACCTCCAGACAATTCTGCCCGAATCGCCCGGGGGCTCAGGGGCTACACCCGCGAATGCGCTCGCGCGCACCCGCCGTCAAGACAAAAATCTCCCAGACGGTTCTGCTCGAATCGCCCGAGGGCTCGGGGGCTCCTGTCGGGTTCACAAACCCGGGGTCCCTCACGGACCAGTTTCCCAACAAAGGCTCGGCCCAAGCGGACAGCGCGCAACTCATGGGCTGGCCCAAGTATTTGAACAAAAGGCTAGAAGGGTGATCCAATCATCGACCAGAAGGTATGGCCGAGGAGGAGCGGCACCCGATTTCCGACTCAGCCCACCTCTTCGACCGGAGCACTCACTTCGATCTCTAGCCCACCTCCGGATGGCCTCTTCGACCAAAAGGCCTGGCCAAAGCGCTACTTCCGACTCCGACCCCATGTCTCCGACTGGGGTACGCCAAAACCCTACTCACTGCTCTTCTCTGACTGGCGCAACCAAAGCCGACTGGGACCAACCGACCGGGGACGCCCGCTCGGAAAGGACCAGGGAACAAACGGAGAAAGCAAGGTCAGGCGCACAAGTCAAACCACGATACCAGGGACCGTACTCTGTACACCTGCAGAAACAGTACTCTGCAGCCTCACTAACACAAACAGTGTTGTAGGCGTCGACATTTTCCCCTACAGTATTGTGGGTGCCATTAACTCCCATACGGTAAGGCACCCCCACATGCCTCTGGGCATCGACAGTGTTGTGGGAGCCGAAATTTATCGTACCAAGTAAACATAGTGAAACTCCTCACATGCCTTTGGGCATCAACAGTATATGCAGGTACCGACATCTATCATACCCGAACAAGACGACGTAACCGTCCGCGTGCATCTGACATCCAATAGTGTTGTGGCGCCTACCATCATCCTATACCCGCCGGCATGGGCAACAAGGCTTAGAAGCAAACGTACTCTTATCCTCTCACTTGTAAGGCCATCCCCTTCGTCTATAAAAGGGGATGCACTCTTTCCCAATAATAAGGTTCAAATCATTCCAGATTCATTAGATCAACCAAGTTCACAACCACAGAACCGCTAGGTTCAAACCTCAAGCACACGCTTGAACACTTAGCTCATAGCAGAGCTCCTGTCGCTCTCGGCCCTTCCGACCGGAGTCCAACCGGACCTCTCATACACCCCATCTTTCTCTTTCTCGTTTGTAACCCCACTGCAAACTTCGAGCACCTAGGCTCAAGAATAAAGTCACCGACCGACTCAAACTGGACATAGGGCATGTTGCCTGAACCAGTATAAACCCTGTGTCATTGAGTGCTAGGCCACCTCCGATCACAACGTACGGCAAAACTATAAATATTTACTTGTTGGTCACTTTCCGCACCGACATGATGGGTCTCAAGTGTGTTTTTTGGAGGATTTGTGGATAAGACCGCGCCCTCTAAAATCGCTCTTCCCTACACTATATAACATTGTGAGAAGAAAAAGTGCAACTGTAAGGTCAGTGTTGGCTACGACGCCATTAAATGTAGCCTTCAGGAGATCTCTGATGGGTGCGAATTTGCGAGCATGGCACGAAGTGGTGGCCATGGTTGTAGATGTACAACTAACGAACCAGAGAGATCGCTTTGTGTGGGGGCTACATCACACTGGGTTGTACTCAATCAACTCCATGTACAAAAGTTTGTTAGGAACACAAGTTATACCGTAATCTGGAAACTTAAACTACCTCTCAAAATCAAAGTTTTCATGTGGTACTTGTACAAGGGAGTAATTTTAACAAAAGATAATTTGGCGAGGCGACAGTGGCAAGGAGATAGGAGGTGTTATTTCTGTTCTTCAAATGAGTCCATACAACATTTACTCTTTGACTGTCATTATGCTAAATTCATATGGAGAATTGTTCAGGTTTCCTTTAATCTAATACCTCCAACTAATGTACACAATTTGTTTACAGGTTGGTTGGATGGGGTAAATAGAAAACTGAAATCTCAAATTCTTGTGGGTGCAAGTGCTATATGTTGGGCGATTTGGTTAACTCGAAATGACATTGTGTTTGACAAGATCCTAGCACCATCTTATTTGCAGGTTATCTTCAGGGGGACTTATTGGGCTAGGTCCTGGTCCCTAATAGAGAAGAAGGAGGATCGTCATTCAATGAAGATGGGATGTAGATCTACTGAGACAATTGCGATGGAGGTGTTTGCTAGATACGACTGGCGATTCAGCAACAGACTTACTTTAGTTGTGTTTTTTGGAAAAGCTTGTGTTTTCGCTATGGCTCAAAATTTTATTTTTGAGATTCCCTGGACCGTTTTATTCTTATCTTTAATAAGGAACAACAATATGCATCGATCGATACAGAAGCTGGGATATTAATATATTCCCTTTTTAAAAAAGAAAGAAAAAGAAAAAGAAGAAGGTGAAGGCCGTTTTCTTTTGGTTTTCTCCTCGTCTTCCCTCCGTTCTGTTGCTCTGCTTGTGTTCCTGCCACCAACGCCGTCCACACACAACTACAGAGTACTACTAGAAGAGAACAACAGGAGGAGGAGGATGGTGCTGAGCTGGGCCAGGCCGTCAGTCTACGTGTAGAGCACGCGATCGGCAGGAGACAGCGGACGCGGTCCATGCACGACTCCACACGCCGCGAGCGAATCTCATCACCCAAAACCACCACGTGGACGATGCAGGCACAGCCACACGTCCGCCCGGTACGTACGTGTCAAAATCAAAACCAAAATGAAAGCAAATTGCTACTCCAGAAGATATCAACATAAATGTATTTTATTTATTATATTTACTTATTACAGTAGAAATAGGAGGGAGAAGACAAGGAACATCAGCATTCAATCGGTTACTGCTGCTACTAGTAATAATACTATATCTCTCTCAGCTCTGTTTTCCATTACCTATTATCACCTGACCTAAATCTTTTTGATTGTGCCAGACAGCCAGACCCAAACGCATATACTACCACCCAACTACATTCTTGTTATATATATGGATGCTGTCTGATTAATGCAGTGCAGTATGCCATTACGGCGACTAGGACTGGACCCGACCTGCACCAACAGATATATATATATATATATATATATATATATATATATACACGTCAATTCTGAAAGCCACTGGCTAGCAGTAAGATCTGATCACCACTGATGAACGCCACCTTGGCCTGATTTATCTTGCACATAGAGAGGCCTTTTCTCAAACCTTCAAGTATATATGAGCGACAAGCTGAAACACCGAATGAAGTTTGAACAGGAGCTGACATGATTTATTTTATACGTACGTCATGAATAATGACAGAACAAAGACGAAACGTGCCACGAGTCATCTCTCTCTACAGCTGGCTCATCACACACTGCTTCAAGAGCATCACAGGGCGTAGTTTGTAGTATGCACCCAGCCTCCCACATAGTGGGCCGCGGCCGCATGTTTGGAGCTCTGGCCAGTCCTCCTTCAGCCCCTTTCTCTTGCAGGTCACAGGTGCGGACGATCGGCGGCGGCGCCACCGCCAGCGAGTTCGTTCCTCAGCCGGCGCGTGCGTTCCTTTTCCCTCTTTGACACCACCCACCCATGATAGATTCCACCCCTGTGCTGTGTCAAACATCCCTTTTCCATCCTACTTTCCACGCGCCACTAGCATAATTCTAGTACTAATAACCCGCTACTTACTCAGCCCCTTTCTATTGCAGGTCATCTTCGGACGATACAGCGACACCATAGGTGTTAATTGTCTTCCCTTCATCCAATCATCCTCATTTCATGATAGATTCCACTCAGCCAGGGGCAAAAAAATAAGAATCCAAAATATTATTATTACTATTATTTTCTAGAAATAAAAATACTATTAAACAGCTGTGTCACTTATGTCATCTTACTGTCCATATGAAGTCTTATTTGTCTTCCCAAATTCCAATCATCCTCATACCAAGTTCAGAACAAATCAACTCGGCAATACATCATTCAGATACCAGCATTTCTATATGGTAGTACATACCATGTTTACTTCAAAGGTACCCAGTACTGCTCCAGTTATCCAACAACTTATTTAAGCTTTGCATTTGCTACAAGCATAGTTTTTTCTATTATTATTGTATACATCACGCCCTTTTCATTTTTGCCATTTTCTTCTTATGCAGCACTTAACTCTGTTTCTGGGATGTCCTCCACAGGTCAATATCTTGTGCGCATGGGTCACACAAATATCAGGCAACATCTATCTACATTGATCCATGTGCGTTAACATGACTTCTCTTTTTCTAGATTTCTTTTTTTTAAACCATGTGTGGGTTGACTGGGTGCTTTTTATTTTATGTATACATAATAACAAGCATGTTTGGCCTGCAGCCTCTTTGTACATGACAAAGTCACATGACTTGGTTTTAGCCTTTAGACTTAATTATGGTTTTGCTTTTGTTATAGTTGTGTTACCTACTCCACACTCGAGGTAAGAGTTTTTTACATGATTTGTTGAGAACGTTGTTTTATGATTATTCATCACTAAGATTGGCCTGACTGCAGTGGACATAGGAGAATTCCCTATTCAAATAGCCTACTTGTGTTTCATATTGAGTTGTCCTCATCCAACCCCACTGTCGTGGATGAGACGCCAGACGCTGATGGTAAAATTTAAGAAGGCTCCAGAAAATTGGACATTTGTTCTTGCTTTCCCTTTTTTTGCTGACTAAATTTACCAGGACCAGGTCCACCTACTTCCTTTTATGTGGCTGACACTTGCCCTGCAACTTCTTCTTTGAGAATCAGGCACTTCATTTTGCAATGCCCAAGCAACAATACACCTCTCCCCCCAAAACAATGGCCACTTATATTCTCTGTCTGTCTCTGATTCTGTTCATCAACCAAGCTATTCCTGCCATGGCTGCTCAGGCCAAAGAGACTGAAATTCCTTTGGGGGCCACAATCAATGCAGGCGGTGTGCAAAGTTGGGTCTCACCTCCGAGGCGCTTTGCTTTTGGCTTCTATCCTGATGATGAGGGCTTCTCCATCGGAGTCTGGCTTATCATCGGTGAATCCAGAAGGATTGTGTGGACTGCCAACCGGGATGATCCCCCTGTTTTTGGTGGCTCAGTTCAGTTAACTTATGGTGGTCTTCAATGGATTCCAGCTAACGCTGGCAGCGAAGGGAAGTTCATATTCGCCACCTCTACTCAGCCTGCCTCTGCTGCGATGACGGACATTGGCAACTTTGTGTTGTACAACAGCCAAAAACAGGTCCTTTTGTCCACCTTTGGTTCTCCGACGGATACCTTATTACCAGGACAGAACCTACTTCCTGGTAGCCAGCTGTTCTCAAGTGTATCTGAGACTAACCATGCCACAGGGGAGTATCGGCTTTCCAACCAGCTAGATGGCAATCTTGTGTTGTATCCTGTTGATGCAGTCGACCCTGATAGCTCATACTGGAATACTGGCACCTATGGCAATGGCTACCTCCTCACGGTTGCTTTGGATCCCAATGGCACACTATGGATGTTCGACCAACAAACATCATATACAAATGTGTTGTTCCTCACAAACCAATCTTCTAAAGCAGATGTGTACTTCCATCTGACATTGGATGCGGACGGTATATTGCGACTCTACTCCCATGTGTTCTTTAGGCAGGGGGGAGCACCCATGATAGAAATCAAATGGCAAAAGCCTAGCAGTGATCAGTGTGATGTGAAAGGCGTTTGTGGTCCAAATAGCTTCTGTCATGTGAGTCCTAATGGAAATACTAGCTGCTCTTGCCTCCCTGGTTTTGAATTCTCAAGTTCTAACCAAAGCATGCTAGGTTGCTGGAGGGTGCGGACTGGTGGCTGCACAGGGAATAGCTCTAATGATGGCATCAGACTGGTAGCTACGATGGTTGAGGTGAAGAATACTACATGGTCAGATAGATCATATGCTGTTCCACCACAGACTACAGGAATTGAAGCCTGCAAAGCTCTCTATCTTTTGGACTGTTCCTGTGAGGTTGCAATGTTCGATTCTTACTGCTCAATGCAAATGCTTCCAATGAGATATGGCAGGAGTTTAAGTCATAGCAATACCACATTTTGGCCATTTTCTATGAACCCATTGCTATCAGAAAGACTAGGAGCACTGGCTCAATTCAATTGCCATCATCAGGCGCTGCATTGGCCACACTGATTGCGGCTCAGCATTCATGCTACTCTGCAAGCATCGCCTGTCATCACGGTTCCACAACTGATGACTCAGAATTTGATGATGACAGCATAGCTATTCGATCCTATTCTTTCCAGGATCTGGAGATGTCCACGGATGGATTTTCTAACAAGTTAGGAAGGGGCGCTTATGGTACGGTGTTCAAAGGTGTCTTGACCAACAGTAACAAGGACATCGCAGTGAAGAGGCTCGAGAGGATGGCGGAAAATGGGGAGAGAGAGTTCCAGCGGGAAGTGCGTGCAATTGCACGAACACACCACCGTAACCTCGTGCGCTTTCTGGGATTCTGCAACGAAGGCATGCACCGCTTACTTGTGTATGAGTATTTGCCCAATGGGTCCCTTGCGGACCTCCTGTTCAAGGCAGATGCAGTGCCTAGTTGGAGCAGCAGGGTTGCGATTGCGCTAGATGTTGCAAGGGGGTTACATTACCTTCATGAGGAGATAGAGGTCCCTATAATTCACTGTGATATTAAGCCAGAGAACATACTCATTGACAGCAGGGGGATGGCAAAGATAGCAGACTTTGGCCTGTCAACGCTACTAATAGGGAACCAGACACAGACTTTCACCGGCGTGCGAGGTACACGTGGGTACCTTGCACCAGAATGGAGCAAGAACATGGCAATCAGTGTGAAGGCGGACGTTTACAGCTACGGCGTCATGCTTCTTGAGATGATAAGCTACAAGAAGAGCATGGAACTGAAGCTGGCTGGTGAGGAATGCAACATTTCCGAGTGGGCCTACGAGTACGTGATATCTGGTGACTTGAAGAATGTGGTGGCTGGGGAATGTGTCGACGAGGTGGAGCTGGAAAGGATGGTGAGGGTGGGCATTTGGTGCACGCAGAATCAGCCAGTGACCCAGCCTAGCATGAAGAGCGTGGTTGAGATGATGGAAGGAAGCGCTGAAGTTCGGCGGCCTCCACCGCCTGCATCATTTTCACAGTCACTGATGCGCTCTGGAAGCAGCTGATAACTCTGATCGTCACTGCAAATGTATAAACTTTGTGTCTGGCAATTGCTACGAAAGTAGAATGGAATCTTGGGGATGTAATTTAGCAGGTGCATATGATCGATTCATCAGGGAGTAAAATTTTGACAAGTGTGCATTGTCATCGTCCTGATTAAGCAGTATGGAGATGGATCATCATTTGATAACTTGCATTACACAATTCTGTGTATCCAGTTGCTGTCGATTGTTGTTGTCTGGTAGTTTGTTTAGTTCTAGGAAATACTAGAAATATGGCGTGCCTGCCTTTATGACCCGTCAGTTTGGTCTATGTAATATAGATAATTGTGGTTATGCAAGTAACAAATTGTGGTCAGATGAATCAAAATATGGAAGAGGAATGTAGACATTTTAGGTCGGGGGAGGAACTGGATAAACTGTTACTAGTTGCCAAAACATTGGTTCTTGAAATTAGTGGTGCACTACATGTAGAATATCCTAAATCCATTTCTCTGTTTTTTCTGAGTTTGAGATGATCGTCCAATGTGTGCTGCGGACCAGCACGCTGTTCTTTATTCCTCCCCCTCCCCATTGTACATAACCATGAATATTTTTGTTTAGTAGTGTATTGTTTGATTGTGACCTCTCTCTCTAAGAAAGATGGTGACCTATCTGATGATTCCTTTTTCTTTGTTTTTTCCCTCATGGGCATACATGAGTCCAGTACTAATTCAGGCGAGCCATCACGGTTCACGCAAGATTTGAATGAGGCCTGCAGCTTTGTTTTTTTGTTCTTCATCGAAGGCATTTGCACAACTGCAGTCTGCATTGCATCACCCCCGCATGCCACTTGTCTTCCCTACTGCTATACAGTAGAAAGAAATTTTATTCTATCATGTTTTGGTGATACAGTGGCAGTATTGGCAGTTGTGTTGCATTGCATCATGGCATGGATCCGAAATAAGATACTCTCTGTAGTAGTTGCTGGCGCTGCTGCCGTGAGTGAAGAATACAAAAACGGAAATTAGGTCACCTGACCTCACCTGCAACGCTGTGGTGGCTTCTGCTTCTTGCCGGTGCATGTGCATTCATCTCACCGAGCCAACCAGCCAGCCACAGAGATCTGCTCCAGTCACAACACAAAGTGCACTAGATCTTCATTATTTTTATTTAAAAAAAACATATATACTAACTAGAGGGATGTGGTGGACTGGACCTGTGCTGGTGAGTGAAATTACAGAATCTGTGGCTCACTGTCACTGCTGATTAATGTATTCCTTACTGACAGGCTTACACCTTTGATCTTACGGGCCGGGTATGGTCCACTTTGCAGAATCATAAGGGAGCAGCAGCAGCATCAGGCGGTCCTGTGTTGTTTGAATCTGATCGCCATTCTGCATGCATTACTAGGAGTAGTAATAGCTGTGATGTGGTTTATTTGACCGGGTAACTAGGCCATTTCTTCTTTTTGAATGAAGAAACAAACGGGTAAATAAAATAGGACAATGACTCCTCTCAGTCCTCATACACGGCATTCGCTTCCATTAAAGACGATGAGATGCTCAAGTTGCATGCATGGCACCAACACAAAGACAGATAGGGATGGATTATGGCATGTTGCCGATAAACCCTGACTGAAACCTGTTAGAATATGTGGGTTAATCTCCCTGGTACGTCCAGGTTCTTTGTACTTAGATCTAATCTCTTCGGCTGTTATAGATAGGAAGTAATCCTTGATTGTAGGGATTTCCTCGTAATCTTGTTGTAACCATATATTTGTACATGCCACCGCCGAGGGGCTTTTCCTCAGCACATATATAACACGCAACCTAGGACCTGAGAGGGTAACCTGGTTTCACCTATTTTTACATGGTACCAGAGCCTTATTCCTAACGGAGTCGTAGTATGGCGTTCCCATCTTCCTCTACGGCGCTCGCTGCCATCTCCCTTGGTTTTCTTCCGGTCACCGAAAAGCTCACTAGGAGCAATCATGCCATGTGGTAGGCACAAGTCCTGTCTGCCCTGAGAGGTGCTCAGGCCGAACACTTCATCGACCCGGCGGCTCGGCCACCGGAGAAGTACCTCGCCCCAAAGGGCGACAAGAAGACGGATGATGAACCACCCGTCGTCAATCCCGAGTACGAGAAGTGGGTGGCCAAGGACCAGCAAGTTCTCAGCTACTTGCTGACATCCCTTTCGTGAGAGATCGGCTCGCAGGTCACCACGGTGACCACGGCGGCGTCGGCCTGGGCTGCCATCGGAACGCTGCATGCGTCCCAGTCAAGGGCGAGGGTCATCAGCACCAGGATGGCACTCGCCACCGCGTCCAAGGGAGTGACGTCTGTAAGTGATTATTTTGCTAAGATGAAATCGTTGGCAGATGAGATGGCGGCTGCTGGGCGCAAATTGGAGGACGAGGAGCTAGTCTCCTATATCCTGACCGGATTGGACTCAGAGTTCGATTCGGTCGTGATGGTGGTGTCAACACGCGTGGAACCCATCACCGTGAACGAACTCTTCGCCCAGCTTGCCGCTCATGAGCAGCGACTGGAGATCCGAGGTGGCGGACAACACTCCTCGGCAAACATGGCCGCCAAGGGCGGCCGCCGCGACTATTCCAACAATGGCGGCCGCGGTGGTGGTCGTGGCTACCGCAGCGGCTCTAGCGGTGGTGGACAGAAAGGAGGCCGTGGTGGAGGACGATTCCAACCCGGGGTCTTCTGCCAGCTCTGCGGCAAGGAGGGACATCCAGTTGTGCGCTGCTACAAAAGGTTTGACAAATCCTTTTCAGGACCACCGCAGAAGAGTGCATCGGCTGCAACCAGCTCGTATGGGGTCGATACAAACTGGTACATGGACACTGGTGCTACAGATCACGTCACTGGAGAATTGGAGAAACTGACCGTTCGTGACAGGTATCACGGCGGGGAACAAGTTCATGCTGCAAACGGGACAGGTATGGAGATTACTAATGTTGGTCATAGCCATTTGTATTCCCCAAATCTTCATCTGAAAAATATCCTTCATGTCCCACAAGCACACAAAAGTCTTTGTTCAGTTAATCGCCTTACCCGAGAAAATAACGTATTTCTTGAATTTCATCCGAATCATTTCTTAATCAAGGAGCAGGTGATGAAGAAAATTCTCCACAAAGGCAGATGTGAGGGCGGGTTGTATCCGCTGCAGCCGTCTAAAAATAAACAAGCACTCGGTGTGATCAAACCATCCACGTCCCTATGGCATCATCGGATCGGCCACGCCTCATCTCGTGTTGTGCAGCAAGTTCTGCACCGTCATAAACTTCCTTTTGCTCAAGAGTCGAATAAGACTAGGGTTTGCGATGCATGTCAACAAGGCAAAAGTCACCAATTGCCTTACCCTAAGTCATTTAGTCTGTCAAGTCATCCTTTTGATCTTGTTTTCTCGGATGTATGGGGACCTGCCCCAAGTTCAGTTAGTCGTCAAAACTATTATGTGAGTTTCATTGATGATCACACTAAATTTGTTTGGCTATACTTGTTGCGTCACAAATCCGAAGTCTTCCAATGTTTTCATGACTTCCAAAACCTTGTTGAACGACAGTTTAGCCGTAAGATCCGTGTTGTCCAGACAGATTGGGGAGGAGAGTATCAAGCCTTGCATTCCTTCTTTACTCGCATAGGCATAGCCCATCATGTTTCATGCCCACATGCGCATCAGCAGAATGGATCAGCTGAACGCAAACATAGACATATCGTTGAGATGGGTCTTACACTCCTTGCTCATTCCTCCATGCCTTTAAAATTTTGGGATGAAGCTTTTAATACAGCCGTGTTCATCATCAATCGCCTCCCATCCAAGGTGATTGACGATCAAACTCCTTATGAGCGCTTGTTTGGTAGCCCACCAGATTACACTTTTCTTTGCACTTTTGGGTGTGCAGTGTGGCCTAATCTTAGGCCCTATAATTCCAAGAAACTTGAATTTCGATCTAAGCAATGTGTCTTCCTCGGTTATAGCAACATGCACAAGGGTTTTAAATGCTTAGATCCGAAGGAAGGGCGTGTTTACATATCTCGTGACGTCGTGTTTGATGAACATGTCTTCCCTTTTGCCTCTCTTCGTCCAAATGCCGGGGCCCGACTTCGTTCAGAACTTGCTCTTCTTCCAGATGTACTTAAAAATCCCTCTCTGGATTTTGGGGATGCAAATTTACATAACCAACGTTTGTTATCTCCTGCCTCTACTAATGTTTTATCAAGTCCTGGTGCTGCTCGTGTTGAAACAGGAACAAATGCGGAAGAAAATCATCAGGAAGTGCTACACGGAGGGGGATATCACATGTGCTCCCCAATCGGGAACAGCTCATGTTCCGAGCTGGATTCGCCTGGCACGGGACAGATTGCCTCCGGCAGATCGGCCTCGGGATCTGAAAGTCTGGAGCTGTCGGGCGCGTCGTCTTCCTCTTCTGGCGCAACGCGGGTTGTCGGTATTGAATCCACCGAGCCGCACCACGATCCCAGCGAGCGGGGTACAAGCACAGCGCCAATGCAGGTTCCTATGATGCAGACAAGCACAGCGCCGACGTAGGAGTCCGTGGAGATTTCCTCACTGGGATCTTCTGCAGAATCCGGATCTACTCCATCTCCTGCACCAACTCCTCCGCACCAGCCTATCACTCGCCTGCAGCATGGGATTCAGAAGCCAAAAATACGTACCGATGGTACGGTCCGTTGGTGCATGAATACGTGTACACCAACAGAAGAACCTGCTACGCTCGATGAAGCTCTTGGAGATCGGAATTGGGCTGCAGCAATGGAAAACGAACATCAAGCCTTGCTGCGCAACAAGACATGGCATCTTGTTCCTCTTCCCAAAGGCAAGAACGTCATAGGTTGCAAATGGGTTTACAAGGTAAAACGCAAAGCTGATTGAACTGTTGATAGGTACAAAGCACGACTGGTTGCAAAGGGTTTTAAACAACGCTATGGCATTGATTATGAGGACACTTTCAGTCCTGTGGTGAAGGCAGCAACCATTCGGCTAATCTTGTCTATTGCAGTCTCCAGGGGTTGGTCACTTCGCCAGCTTGATGTACAGAATGCATTCCTTCATGGTATTCTAGAAGAAGAAGTTTATATGTATCAACCATCGGGCTATGCTGACAAAACACATCCCAACTATGTCTGCAAGTTAGATAAGGCACTCTATGGATTAAAACAAGCACCACGGGCATGGTATGCAAAATTGTGCAAGAGATTGGAAGCACTTGGTTTTGTTCCATCAAAGGCTGACACATCGTTGTTCTACTACAACCGTGGTAACCATAGTATTTTTGTTTTGGTTTATGTTGATGACATTATAGTTGCAAGTTCCTCACAGGATGCAACCGAGGCATTACTCAAAGATTTGCGAGGGGAGTTTGCACTAAAAGACCTGGGAGACTTGCATTACTTCCTAGGTATCGAGGTAAAGAAGGTACCGGAGGGGCTACTCCTGTCTCAAGGTATATATGCCGCAGACATCCTCATTCGGTCAGGGATGGACAAAGCTAAGGTTGTTGATACTCCATTGTCTATGTCGGAGAAACTCGGTGTTACTGATGGTACAAAGCTTGAGACTGAGGATGCGACACGCTACAGAAGTCTGGTGGGAGCATTGCAATATTTAACTCTAACTCGCCCAGACATATCCTTCTCTGTTAACAAAGTATGTCAGTTTCTTCACTCACCGACTACAGCTCACTGGAGTGCAGTGAAGAGAATCTTAAGATATGTTTGTGGGACTATGAATTATGGTCTCAAAATTAGAAGATCAAAGTCAATGATGGTTAGTGCCATCTCAGATGCAGACTGGGCTGGGTGTGTAGACGATAGAAGGTTGACAGGAGGTTTCGCTATCTTTCTTGGTGATAATCTAGTCTCGTGGACGGCTAGAAAGCAGGCTACAATGTCACGGTCTAGCACTGAAGCGGAGTACAAGGCACTAGCAAATGCAACTGCAAAAGTGATGTGGGTACAAAAACTACTCACAGAGCTTAGGATTGATCATCCCCTAGCTGCACGGTTATGGTGTGATAATTTGGGAGTCAAATACCTGTCAGCCAATCCGGTGTTTCATGCAAGAACAAAGCATATAGATATTGATTTTCATTTTATCAGAGAACGAGTGGCACATAAGTTGTTGGATATAAGATTTATCAACTCTGGAGATCAGCCTGCTGATGGTTTCACCAAGGCGATCACCGCAGCAAAGCTGAGACAGTTTAGAGTCAATCTTAACCTTTCTAGTGGCTAAGATTGAGGGGGAGTGTTAGAATATGTGGTTAATCTCTCTGCGTCCAGGTTCTTTGTACTTAGATCTAATCTCTTCGGTTGTTATAGATAGGAAGTAATCCTTGATTGTAGGGATTTCTTTGTAATCTTGTTGTAACCATATATTTGTACATGTCACCGTTGAGGGGCTTTTCCTCATCACATATATAACACGCAACCCAGGACCTGAGAGGGTAACCTGGTTTCACCTATTTTTACAAAACCATGTGCCATTTTTTATGCTACTAGGATGTATTACAGTCGGATCTGATCGCCCATCCATCAGGCATCTAGTACTTTCTACTTGCTAGTAGTACCATATATACTCGTAGTTGATAGGAGCATCATCCTGCCTGAATCATGAGCCCAAAGAAAATGCGTGGAGTGGATCCGCTCCTTTCACATTGTTCTCTTCTTCTTGTCCGTCCGCTAATGAGCACGTACTGGTACTGGTACTGGGTTGACGGTGAAAGAAAGCAGAACGAGAGTGAGAGTGAGCAAGATAAGACCAGAGAAGCAGGCCAGGCAGCGGAGCAGGACAAAGAGACAGTTTGGCGCATCATCTGATCAGTGATCATCATCTCCCTCCGGCCTCCAATGTCTCCAGCTTCAATCAGGCACCACAGTCCACACTCCACAGGCACGGCAGGCACGCACGCATCGGCCGGAATCACGTTCACATGGGATGGATGGATGGATGGTGGATGCCCCCCAATTTTGCCATCTCTCGCATATACCCCTCCCCTGTCAGCTATCACCCATCTTCTTCCTCCTCCGTCCACGGTCCACCTCTTCCACCTCAGCTACCTTACCTACTGGAGTTGTCAATACCTCTGTTCCTGCCTCTTCATTCGAACCAGCCTCCATTTTTTTAGTTTTTTACCACCACTCTGCCCCTGGTAGCCAGGCAGCCAGCACAGACAGCGCATTCACTGTCCCTCCCCAGCTCGCCTCTCTTTGCTGTCCGTCCCAGCTCCCAGGCCAGCGCATTCAGTTCAGTAGCTGCTGCGAGCTACCACACCGAATACCCACACGATACGATACGATACGATACGGTCCCAGTCCCAGCTCCCAGGCCAGCACAAAGCGGCCGCACCGGCTGCACCATTGCTCTAGGAGTAGTGGAGCACTCGTCCTCTGCCTCCGTTCCGGGCGGAGCAGCCAGCGCCAGGACCAGGACGGCATGGTGTGGAAGAGCTGGGGCGCTGCGCCGCCGCCGCCACCGCTGCTGCGCATTGCTCTGCTGCTTCTCGCTTCTGCGGCGCCGCTCCTCTCCGGCGCCGGCGACGTCGCCCTCAGCTTCTCAGCCACCCCGCGCCGCGTCTCCACGTCCACGTCTGCCGCCTTCGCCTTCCGGGTCCTGCGCGCCGCCGGAGGGCCTTGCGCCGACTGCCTCGTCACCTGCCAGGTACCATACCAAATGCACGCACGGTCACGGCCACGGGCCACGGCATTGCTGCCTGCCTGCCTGCATTCAGCACGGTGCAGATGAGCGCTGACCAGTGACCATGCATGGCTGCCGCTTGCTGCTTTCTTGTTTCGTTCCTCCTCCTGGCTCCTGTTCCTGCTCCTTCTCCTTCGTTCTGCTATCAATGGAATTGGTATGGAGCCACACACCGGCATGCTAGGTGGATTGAATTTGATGTAGGAACAGCAACACTAAGGATCGATGCCTGCTTGTGTTTGCATGCCATGTACATCCATGCAGTTGGACGGCGAGCCGGCGTCGCCCTGCGGCGGATCCGGCGGGAACAACGGGACGACGGCGGCGGCGAACTACACGGGGCTCAAGGACGGCAACCACACCTTCACGGCGTGCGCGAGGACGGCGTCACCTTCGAATTCATCGTCCAGCGCCACCTACGCTTGGGATGTTGGTTGAGTAACAAACATGCCTGCCCCCTCCCCTCTTTCACTTCGCCGTAACTGTGAGCCTGCTGTGACGACTGTGAATCACGCGAGCTGCGTACCTGCACCGTGCAGACACTGTCCCACCAACGGCGTCCGTGTCGGCGGGGCCGGCGTTCACGAGCGCCTCCAGCGTGTCGGCGCTCGTCTCCTTCACCGAGCCCTGCCCCGGCGGTGGTGGATTCGTCTGCAACGCCACCTACTGCAATGTACTGCACCGCACTGAATTGTCTCTGTCTGCACGCACGCACGCGCAGCCAAAAAAACTGACGTATGTTTTCACTGCATGCATATATCCATATTCTTTTGCATTGCAGCTCATCGTGTACGGCCCCGGCAGTGTGGACCCGTCGACGCTCCAGGTGCTCAGCCCCGTCCTGCGCTACTCCGTCGCCGTCGCCATCTCGCCGGACGCGCAGTACGGCCGCCTCGTCCTCGTCATGGGCAGGGGCTTCTGCACGGACGCCGCCGGCCACCCGTTCACCAGGACGCCCAACTCCACTTTCACCCTGCGCTTCGGTACGCCCCACGCCATGCACGCTCTCCATGAATCACTATGCTGCGTGTGCGTGTTGAAAAACCGTTCTGTAAATACAGATCGAAGGAGTGACTCCATGAACATCACCGCCACTGTTCCTGAGAAGATGCTCCAGATACAGGGCGTCACCAGGCTGGTTCAGGCCACCAACGACGAAGAGGGCCTCAGGTATACCTCACCTTCGCCCAGCCGGTGCTCAACTCGTCCGAGCAGATCCTGAGTGCCCTTACGGCGACCGACGCCGTGCTCACACCCACCAACAGAAGCACCCTCGGCAAACGCCGCTTCGGCTATGTTGTAAGTAGTAGCAGTAGCTACTTGCTGGTTCATACATGCTGTATTTTTCCAGTTCAGCCACGTCTACCTGCTCTGCTTGTTGATTCGATGGCTCGTCCATGTTCTTGGTTCGTTCGACTCACTGATTGCGAGTTGTTTCTCTGACATACTATGCATGATCCTATAATAACTAAACTAGGTGAACAAGATGTCTGACACCGCCATTGTGACCGTTGCCTGCGACACAAGCTCTATTATCAGCAGGCAAGGGACTCCGGTTCTTTCAGCAGAGCCATTCACGTTTCTTTATGGTTAGTTCAGTCTACAGAGAGCCACCCTCTGCTTCTGCTCCACCCAATTTAGAATTCACTACTGATACTCAGCTGACTAGCATTTTCAGATGCTGTTAAAACTTATATATATATATATATATATATATATATATATATATATTGCTTTGTATTATATTTTTGCTTCTGCTCTGTAACATTGTGTGGTAGACACACAGAGACCTTGGGTTAAACTCGGCACATCGGCTCGCCGGACCAGCTCTCGCGACATCCCGGTCCTGATCAAGTTTGCAAAGCCTGTGTTCAACTTCAGCTCCTCGGCAGTGCAGGTGTCTGGGGGCAATGTGCTGAGGCAAGATTATATATTTAGCAATAACAAATACTCGTACAATCTTAAACAAAGTGACTCATCTCTGATATGTTCGCCTAGGAGAAGATAACTAAGGCTGTCATTAGCATCTCATGGTTCATTGTTCTTTCAGCTTCCATGAAGCCAGTAAGAGCATATACACGCTGCAGATACAGGCGGTCGACAAGCTGGTGTCGGTTCAGGTCGCAGAGAACGCAGCCCAGGACGTGGCTGGGAACCCCAACCTACCATCAGACTTTCTTCAAGTCAGGCACTGTATGAACATCTTCTTTGCTTCATTCATACTCCCTCCATTGCCACGACGACTTAAAATTTGGAACGAAGGGAGTAGTTAGTTACTATGAGATTCACAAAGAGTTTCAATATACAGACACTCATTAGGCAGGCAGCAGGGCACCTGATATACTCTTATGTATCTGCAGATTCTGTGCCTGCGTCATCGTCTTGGATCGCGGCAATCACCACTGTCATATTTCTGACAACTGCTGCCGTTGCCACACTCCTCACCGTTTCGACATCGTCTCTCGTCGCTTCCGGAGCTATCTCGAGGCCCTCTTCCTACATGATCTCAGAGCCATCAAGGAATGTCTTGGTACGTATGCCGCTGCCGTCGATGATATGATATCTTCATGGCTACATTACATTACAGATGGGTCATGTTTAGATCATTTGCATTGGTCACTGATCTTGTGAATTTTATTCAGAGGATGGCATGCCACATCCAAATCTTTGCTCTGTCAAGATGGCTGTCAGTCAACCTGCCAATCGAGTACTACGAGTTTGCAAAGGGGATAGAATGGAGCATCCCCTACATGCGTCTGCCATGGGAAGGCCCGGCCGCAGACCCATTCCTGGGATACTCCACAATGCCTGCAATTGCATACTCGGAGCTGCTCGACAGGAGCGCCGTCGGCATTGTAAACATCTCCTATCCTCGAGCACAAGGTCAACCGATGACGCCGACGCAGATCATCCCATCAGACCCGGTATTCCCAACGGAGATCCCTGAAGATGGGAAACCCACACCGCCGATGGAAACTCCCAGAGACGCCACGCCGGTGATGCCAGTGCAGACCCCGTTGCCGTTGGACGGGATGCCCCTGACTTCAATGGAGTACCGTTCTTTCTTCGAGGTCTGTTGGTTCTATTTACTGCTTGCATGCATTTCTGATGAAGTCTGAATATATAATAAACAAGCAAAGTGTAAAACATTACAGAACCCGGACATGAAGCCTGAGGCACAGATCATCATGAAGCTACAAGATTTGGATGGGTATGTTGCATTGTTGATGCTTGCTTGCGCAATGGCGTGGCATGAAGAAAGTGGACTGATGAGCTGAGGCTGCTGAGCATGTGTTCTTGTGTGTCCATTACATACAGGTGGAAGTACTTCGGCAGGAACATGTTCTGGCTGGGCGTCATCGGCGGCGGCCTCATCCTCCTGCATCTCCTCACTCTCCTCTACTTCAAGCTGAGGTTCAGAGACAGGGAGCAGTGGCGGCGGCATGGCTACGGCGCGCTCGTTCTCCCCAGGCTGGAGATCATGGTCGTCGTTCTGGCAATGCCGTGTGTCGCTCAGGCACCGGCAGCGCTCATCAGGGGCGGGACCACGTGCGGCCTGGTGGTAGGGATCGTGCTCACCGCCGTCCTGACTTCGTTCCTGGTGGGCCTGCTGTTGTTCCTGTCGCTGGGCATCACCATGGGCAGACTGCTGCAGTACAAGGAGGTGCACCAGGAGGGGCAGGAGTACGACCACTGGTACCAGGAGCTGGTCCGCCGCACGCTGGGCCCCGGCAAGCGCGGGCAGTGGACATGGAAGGACCCGCGCCGCGCCGCCTGCCTGCTCAAGATCGGCCCTCTCTTCGAGGACCTGCGCGGCCCGCCCAAGCACATGCTGACGCAGATCGCCACGCGCGGCGGCGGAGGCGGCAAGCGCCGCGCTGCAGGCGGTGGACCAGAGCGGATGATCGCGTCGGAGGACGAGAACGAGGACTCGGAGGCGCCCTTCATCCAGAAGCTCTTCGGCGTGCTCCGGGTCTACTTCACGCTGCTGGAGTCGGTGAAGCGCGTGACGGTGGGCATCGTGGCCGGCGCGCACGCGTCATCGGGGTATTACTTAGAAGTCGTACAAGATCCCTCCTATCTGCGCACGCCGTCTTATCTTGGCTCGCAAACCCCAAGTTTGTCTATGAAGAGCTAATCTAGGCGGTCGTCCCGCGCGCACGCTGTGGCGGTGCTGTCCGTCGCCTCGTTCCAGCTCTTCTTCATGCTGCTCAAGAAGCCCTTCATTAAGAAGCGGGTGCAGCTGGTGGAGATCCTGTCGGTGACCAGCGAGGTGACCGTGTTCGCGGCGTGCCTAGCGCTGATCGACAGGACGTCGGCGGCGAGCGGTGGCGGCGGGTGGCTGCCCGACGGCGAGGCCCGCGGCGTGGGGCTGGCAATGCTGGGCGCCTTCGTGCTGGGGTTCGCGGCGCAGGTGTGCAACGAGTGGAACGCGCTGTACCGGCAGGCGCGCCTGCTGAGCGCCGACCGGAGCTCGTTCCTGGACGGCGCCAAGACGGCGTGCCTGGGCCTGCTGCTGCTGGTGCTGCCGTCGTCGGTCCTCGGCGAGCGGGTGGCGGTGAAGCACCAGCAGGGCCCGCCACCTCCGGCCGGCGGTGGAGCCGGGGAGAGCGTGTCGGCGTCGACAGCGGCCGACGGGGGCAGGGGCGGGAGCGGGAGCGAGGGTTCCCGGGGCTCGAGGGGCTCCAACAACGAGCGGTGGTGGCTTCGGCAGCTGCGGGAGATGGCGAAGGCCAGCTTCAGCAAGGAGGGCAATGCGGTCCCGGCCGGCGGCGGCGGGGAGGAGGCGTCGACCAGCGGCAGCAAGGCGAGGAGTGGGGAGTGGAAGTCGAAGTCCAAGAGCCTCTACAACGATCTCGAGGCCATCTTCTCCAATACCAGCAGGTGATCCGGTCCATCTATTCTCGACCGTCCGATCCTAATCCGATGGATGAGCATGCAGGTCCACCTCATCTTGATGTACTGTATGTATCTTCTTAAGTCTCCATTTTTCAGTAAAAATAGATGGAGTAGGTAAAGATTACAAAATTTTGGTGATGAAACCATGAATTAGCTTAGGCTCTTTTTGATTCTGGCACTGTTCGGCTTACCCTATATTCGACTTTATCGGGGTTTTTTTTTAGCCGGAACAGTGTTTTCTCTCATAACAATTCAGCCAGAACAGTATTTTCAACCAGTTTCAGACCATCGAACAGGGTCATAATGGGCTAATAGTTAGCTGGTTAATATCTCATGAGCTATTAGCTAGCTAACTATTAGCTATCTATTAGTTGAAGGATGCACAGCTAATTAAAAATGTTACTAAGATAATTTTTAGTTGATATTATCTGATTTGGTCCAACTAGTGAGATAGTTATGATCTAAAGGTCCAGCTAAAAATTAGTTATTTTATTAGAGGCATCTATTTAGATCCGATATATATATATATATATATATATATATATATATATATATATATATATATATATATATATATATATATATATATATTAGATTGACGGAATAAGCGAAGTTTCTGAGACGGCAAAAAAGCGCTCTCGTGTCTTTATTTTTTTCATTCTCTCTTCATGTGCCAAACGTGCACAAGCGAAAACGGCTTGTGAAGCCAAAATCAAGAAAAGAAAAAGAAATCGGAGTCGTTTTTATTTCTCCAGAAGCTGAAGCCATAAGCCCCGTTCGCTTGAGCTTATCAATCAGAATCAGTCTTACTTTTTTCGCTATGAAACAATATTTTTCTCTCACAACAAATCAGTCCTACAAATCAGCCGCAGCAACGATAGGTTCTGCCAAACGGCTTTTTGGCTTCATTGTTTTGGAGAAAACCGAAGCCTTGGCAAAGAGGACCTGACGATGTATTTGGTATCTTGGAACATTTCTGATTCAGACATCGTGGAACACCAAAATCGGCACTAAACGATTTGAATGGTAGCGTTCCAGCTCCAAAAATCGAGAGAAACGATTCTTCTTTTTACACTACATGGTTGAATATGCTAAAATGTGGTTTCACAACGATATTTCTTGTTCTCACCTTGTGGACTTCCCTTGTAGTTTACCAAGAATTAAGTGCAACAAGTTAAAATGGAATGTATTTAAGTTGTTCTTCGTGCACAAAAGTTTTAATTTCTGTGAAGTATATTTCCATTTATAAGATCTTTTTCATTGAAAAAACATATGTTTGAGGAACCAAAATCAAACCTTTCAGCCAACGGTCTCACAAATGCGATTTTGATTTGTTTTAGAAACATTTCTCTTGAGAGAATTCAAATCTAAAACATTTGTGCAGGAATCTGGATCTGTACCAACTACACCCAAAATCTTCACCATCCTTGCCATCGCAGTTTTCGATAAAATCCCATGCATGGTTTCCAATGCTAATGGCCATTTGGGCCGATGCATGCATGTACGTGCTAGTGGAGATTTCGATAGCAAATTTGGGATTACAAAATCTTTAGTGGCAAGTAACTAACAAGCTGTACCGAAGTAGAACAACATGAATTAAGTACAAATCAGTTTATCCCGGATCAAAATAAACGTATAGTTAGCTGATCATGAATTATTATTCAAGTAGTACCACATCACTGTCACTCTACTAGTTGATCTATGGTGTGCCTTAGTGCCTAAACGGCCATGACTAGTTAATCCCGCTCAACTAATGACTAAACTAAGCCATCGCTCTCAAAATGTATATTTGTTCTTTCGTACATACATTACAACAAGCGTCAGTCCTACGTCCACATCCTGCGGGTCCATGAGAAATTGAGAATGATTCATTCTCATTCCCAATCCAATCCCAATCCCAATCCCAATTCCAATTCCATTTCCAATCTACACTGCAGGCTGCTGCAAGGTGCAGCAGCGCGCTCCCTTGGTCTCGGTCCCTCCCTTCGGCTCTCCCTGTCTCTCAGCACGATCTCACATGTCTGCTGTCTGATAGTACTTAACACCGACTAGCAGCAGATCTAGCGGGTACAAACTTGCATATAGAATATAATAAACCCTAAAATATGAACTAGTGCTAGGAAACAGAAAGAGAGGGATGCGGTGTTAGCAAACCATCGGCCGCCTTGGAGATAGACGAGCTGGCCATGACGTCGGTGTCTGTGACGCGGTGAAGACGTAGAGTAGCAGTGGAGTCCGGCAACGGTGTGGACGTCGCAGTGGAGGCGTAGTCGAAGAGGCGGCAGTGAAGACGCAGCGGTGACGGCTTCCTATCGCTGGCAGCACCCTCTCTCTAGATCGGCTTAGGGTTAGGATGTAGGTGGGATTTGTGGCGGCTCAGGTAAACCTCATGCCTCGTGCCCCCCCCCCACCTCCTTTTTATGGCGCTATGCGACTGGGGCCCACCAACCATAAATAGAGTTGGGTGTCCCCGATTAGAGCGCGGATCAAGGACCCAATTGGCCGTTGGGCCAAGTTGGTAGAGATCAACCTAACATTCTCCCCCTTGATCTCACCTTATGACTTAAACTTAACTTTCTTTATCTTTTTCCATTCCATCACAGATCAGTGCATAGAGTGTGTCTCATCGTCACGGTCAGTTGCCATTAGATTAACAACTATAATACACCTCTCTATTTTAAAATAGATTCTCATCTAGGCCCTTATTGTCCAGGAATCATAGGCTTTCTCTTAAACCCATACCGGCTAAATGTTCTCTGAACACGTTGGGTGGTAAGCCTTTTGTAAGCGGATTCGCGAGCATCTTTTCTGTACTTATATGCTCAAGACTAATTATATGATCCCGAATTTTGTCTTTTATAACATAATACTTTATGTCAATATATTTGGCAGCACCACTTGACTTATTGTTGTGAGCATAACATACTGCTGGATTATTATCGTAGTATAACTTGAGTGGCTTATGTATGTAGTCTACCACTTTCAACCCGGGCATAAATTTTTTCAGCCAATTTTACCTGCCCCGTGGCCTCATAACACGCTACAAACTCGACATACATCGTAGACAATGTAGTGACGGTTTGCTTGGAGCTTTTCACGATACAACTCCTCCTGCGAGAGTAAATATATATCCCGACGTGGACTTTCTATCATCTCCCGCATAATCTGAATCTGAATACCCCTCTATATATAGGGAATAAGATCTTCTGTACATTAGCATAAGACCTTTTGTGCGTTGCAAGTAACACAAAACTGTCTTTACCGGTCTCCAGTGTTCTATTCCTGGATTACTCTGATATTTGCCAAGTAACCCAGTAACAAATACTAAGTCAGGGCGTGTACACACTTGAGCATACTGTAAACTTTCGACAACTGAAGCATATGGAACCACTTTCATTTGATCGATCTCATATTGGTTCCTGGGACATTGAAATTCCCTAAATCTATCGCTCTTAACTATGGGAGCAGGTGAATGCTTATAATTTTGCATACTGTATTTCTTTAAAACCTTTTCTAAGTATACCTTTTGTGATAGTCCTAAAACTCCCCTTTCTCTATCTCGGTGAATCTCTATTCCTAGAATGAACGAAGCTTCACCGAGATCCTTCATGTCAAACTTTGAGGACAAAAACTTCTTCGTTTTTAGTAGTAGATTAACATCACTACTAGCAAGTAAGATGTCATCCACATACAAGATTAGGAAAATGTATTTTCCATTATTGAACTTTGCATAAATGCAATTGTTCTCTACATTTTCCTGAAACCCAAAATTTCTTATTGTACTATCAAACTTTAAATACTATTGTCTTGATGCTTGTTTTAATCCATAAATGAATTTCTTCAGGTGGCATCCTATACGTTCTTTTCCTTCCACAACAAAACATTTTGGTTGTGCCATGTAAATATTTTTCTCTAAATCCCTATTTAGGAACGTCTTTACATCCATCTGATGTAATTCTAAATCGTAATATGCTACAAGCACCATTATAATCCTAAAGGAATCCTTACATGAGACTAGAGAAAATATTTCATTGTAATCTATGCCTTCTCTTTACGTGAAGCCTTTCATCATAAGTCGCGCTTTAAATCTTTCTACATTTCCTTTAGTCATATTTAGTTTTGTAGACCCATTTACAGTCTACTGTCTTGGTTCCTTTAAAAATTATTTCTAAGTCCCAAACACCGTTGGTATTTATTGATCTCATTTTATCTTGCATGGCTTCAAGCCACTTTGATGAGTGAGCGCTTCTTATGGCTTCTTCAAATGAGGTGGGATCACCCTCCATTTGAAATTCTTCACATTTATAGACTTATTAGTCATCAGGAATGGCTGGTTTCCTAACTCTTTGAGACCTTTTAGGGGCCTCGTTAGTTGACGCTTGTTCTATATGAGGTTGTTGTTGCTTTTCGTCATGTGTGACAACAGGTTCTATGGGATCCTGAAGGACAGGTTCCTCATGTTCATTCATTGTCGCCATGGGAGAACTAACAACAGGTGCTGTTACTACAGTGTCTTGTACTGTTGGTGCAGCAACAATAGGTAGCGTGAAGAATGGCTCCTGAACCATCGGAGTATGCACATGTATCCGCTTCTCCTCTAGGTTAATTTCTCACGCTACCATGCTCCCCCTAACCATATCATCCTCCAAGAATACAACGTGTCTCATTTCTACAAACTTCGTATGTCTGTTAGGACAATAGAAGCAATAACTTTTTGACTTTTCTGGATAGCCAATGAAATGACAACTGACTGTTTTGGAGTCTAGTTTCCCTATGTTTGGGTTAAAGTCTTTAGCCTCAGCTGGACAATCCCACACACGTAAATAGTTAAGTGAGGGTTCCTTTCCTGTCTATAACTCATATGGTGTTTTGGGCATTGACTTGTTTGGCACTCGATTAAGAATATGAATGACAGTTTTGACGTCTCCATCCATAAACTTATCGGTAGAGTAGAGTAATTTATCATACTTCTCACCATATCCATTAAGG